GCCACGAAATCTGCACATGGAGGTTCACAAAGTGCTGTGCCTGCCACCAAATCTATACACGGAGGTTCAAAAAGTGCTGTGCCTGCCACGAAATCTGCACATGGAGGTTCACAACAGACTGCGCCTGCCACGAAATCTGCACCTCGAAGTTCACAAGAGATAGCGGACGCACGAAATGCTGTGCTTTTCAATGCAAAGGGTAACCCCGAACCTGGCAAGTCAAGCTCTGTGGAACGACGTGTGCGGGACGGTCTCGGGTCATGGTCGGATCATGGTCGGAATCGTCCCTCCATTGTGGTTAGTTTTCACTTGTTTCTTGAAGTGCAGATTTCGTGGCAGGCACAGCACTTTGTGCACCTCCATGTGCAGATTTGGTGGCAGGCGCAGCACTTCGTCAAATTCAATTTGCAGATTTCGTGGCAGGCGCAGCACTTTGTGAACTTTGAGGTGCAGATTTCGTGGCAGGCGCAGATTTGGTGGCACTTTGTGAACTTCAATTTGCGTTTTTCCTGGCAGGCGCAGCACATCACTCTTGTGGAACACTCTTATAGGACACTCTTGTGGGACATGCTTACGGGACACTCTTGTAGGACACTCTTGTGGGACACTCTTGTAGGACACTCTTGTGGGTCACTCTTTTGGGACACTCTTGTTGGGCACTCTTGTAGGCCTCTCTTGTGGGTCACTCTTACAGGACACTCTTGTGGGACGCTCTTGTGGGACACTCTTGTAGGACACTCTTGTAAGACACTCTTGTGGGACACTCTTGTGGGACTTGTGGGACGCTCTTGTGGGACACTCTTGTAGGGCACTCTTGTGGGTCACTCGTGTAGGAAACTCTTGTGGGTCACTCTTATAGGACACTCTTCTGGGACACTCTTGTGGGTTGTGGGACACTCTTGTAGGACACTCTTGTGGGACGCTCTTGTAGGAATCTCTTGTAGGACACTCTTGTCGGACACTCTTGTGGGACACTCTTATGGGACACTCTTGTAGGACACTCACACTCTTGTAGGACAGCGGGCGACTGGAGGGTTCAACTACCTTTTGATGTAGGTCTTCATGGTAAATGGGGTGGACTCCACCTTCTTTCAGATGGTTGAATTGGGCGCACGAGAAAGTTCCGACTCAATGACGCATGTCCTGTTCGACGCTTTTTAATCACTTCCCGTGCGCAGGAGGATTCGAGTGAAGCATGATCCGAGATTTGGCGGGTTCATGCTTCATGTCCACTGCCAAGCCGCCCTGGTGCTAGTGATGTTGCTTTTGCCCGCTGTTTTTAGCATTTTGTGGATGCCTTAGTGGGAATCCTTTCTTGATAATTTGTTCTGGTCAAACAAGAAAAACAAAGCAACAATAATGTAATCATCGGCCTGCCCTCCAGCAGTTCCATGTAAACTACCAAACCGCCAGGTGCCTCAAATGAAGTACCCTGACCAAAGAGATGGATCATCTCCATAACGGTCGGTGTTTTGACCTCATTCTGCTCTTTTCTATTTCTTTTTCATTTTTGCTAACTTTGCTGAGGCAAGAGCCAGCTTGAGTGGTAAGCTTTTGTGAAATAAAGGCTTCATTCCACATGGGCTTATTTCCTCAACACATCTCAAACACTTTCAAGACTTGACTTTGAGCCATTTTCGAAAGTTCACAGCGGCTCATCAGCGTGGGCAGCAGCTTCCGTCTGACCTATTCTTGTGCAAAGCACTGTGCTATTTGCAAGTTGAACTCACACTCTCAGACCGTATTCGTCTACGTAGGCTCTTGCATGCATGAAAACTCGACGGAACTCAGCTAAACATGTCTTAGTTTGCCAGCAACATACTTTCAAGCATGCCCAGGTCACGTCGCTTCATCTCTTGGAGGACCTAATTACGGACGCCAAAGCTCAAAGAAATCACAAATCAACCGATAATGAAATCCGAGCCGCTGTTTGAGCCCGATGCTTCCTCAGCAAGGGCAAAATGGATCGAGTTTGGTCTGAGCGATCTGCATCTTTGGACGTCCACTGATCAGCACACAACTCGATCTTGCAACTCATGGAGCCGTCGAGCGCGTTTTCTCCAGTGACAAGCATCTGTCGCTCCAAGGCCACTTCCAAAAGTGATTGACCACCTCCATTCTCCGCATCCCAGCGCAAAGTCGTCGTTTCAAAAAGCCGGCGCAACTCCTGGTTAAGGCTGGGAGCAATTTGGGCAGCTTTGGTGAGTTTTCGAGAAGCTTGAGCGGCTCCTCTGCATTATCTTGAACAACTGCACGAAAGGCCTTTTGTGCCAGCTCGCGGCCTGCATCTAGAGCTATTAGACTGCGCCTGCAACAGGCTGTTGAAGAAGTTTGATCACTGACTGAATGCAAACTGATCATTTTTCATGTTAGGTTAGTTGGTTCTGCCTGAGTCTGCAAATCTGTCATCAAAACGTGTTTGAGTTGGTTGCCTTTAAAACAGTGCTCATGTAAAGGGTGCGTGTCTATTCGAGCTGCATTTGTTGTTCAATCCTTTAAAAAAACAATATGCAAAATCAGCTTTCACTGTTGCAACATTCCCATGGCCCACTCACTATGTCAACATTTGTGCGCTGCTTCAGGCTTAAGCGGCTTATGTGTTTACCCCGCGGGTCTTTCACTCTGTTAGGTTTTGCATTGCTTCAAATAAATGCAAGTCTGACTTATTGTAGCAAAACACGACGGCAAAGTCACAGGCGGCTGCATCGGTAGTTAACGAATCGTATGGAAACTGTCTTGAAAAAGACTTGCGGCTACTACCCAAACAATTTGGACAAAAGAACCATGGACCCCTGAATCACACACATGTTGCTTTAAGTTTGGAGAAACCAGCAAACCCACACGTTTTTTCTCCAAGCTCCACTTGGCATTGCCTCTGGTATTGACTATATCCATCTTCTCCCTTCTAAAATTTATCCAAGCTTTGGCTGGTTAAAGGTTCATGGGGTTTTGGGACCTTTGCCGGATTGGCTGTCTTTAATCACTGCAACTCAAAGATTTGGTCAAACAAACAATTCACAATCAACAACTAAATATATTTTACAAGTGAGAGTTTGATCAGCATGTTTTAACTTGTTTGAGGATAGCCTCAGGTCCTTCTTCAGAATGGCCGTTGCTGAAGGCAAAAGACACAAACACTAGCCTATGCCTAATTCATCACCTAACCTTAATAATTTTCACATTCTCCAAACTCAAAAAACACAACCCAACATATATGCAGTTTTTTCATTGAACTCGAAGTTTTCTCAGTTGCTGAGGGTTGGGGATTTCTCCAAACTCATCTTCTAGCAGCAAGACCTTCCAAATTCACACCAACTCAGCGACCCACCCCAGTTTTGTCCAAACTTGTGGGTGAATTGAGTGATAGTTCAGGAAGCTTCCAAACTCATTGCTTGAACATGCTCGGTTGCCAGAGCAGAAACATTGCCCCAGTTCCAGAGCTTTGAGAATTCTGTGAATGTGTGTCTGTGTGTGTAACCTTTGGAGTCACAAGGTTCCTTTTGGAATGTTTCCCTTTAGCAGCAGGGGGCGTGACGGTCGATTTCCTAGTCACGCCAATGAAGGTATGGAAATCGACTGGATGGAAGTTTGGACGCAAACTTCCGTACCTGCTGTCTACACTTTTGAACGGCTGTTCGCTGTCACTTGTGTTTTGCTTGTGCATACTACCTACCACCTACTAGCGACGGCCTGAGGAAGTCTGTCACCGACTTCGGGGAAATCCGCCACCGACTTTGGGGAAGTCTGTCACCGACTTTGGGGAAATCCCTCACCGACTTTGGGGAAGCCAGCCACCGACTTTGGGAAGCTCCGTTTTCAGGAAAAAAATATCGGAGGTTCCCTTTGGATTGTTTTCTTGATTTTTCGCAGGGGGCAATCCCATTGCAGTTGATTGCCCAACGAAGAGGGCTGCAATGTGGCTGATATTTCTGGACGTACCTGCATGGTTGTGGCGTTTACAAGCTGTTACTCCAATTTTCTGGTAAGTGCTAGTGAGTTCTACAGTTGTGCACGAACGCCGTCATCTTGTCGTTCGCTCGACCATTGCTTTCTTTCGATTTGATGGCCACCTGAAAGTTGATGGACCTCCACTTCCTTTCAGGTTTTTCACCTGTACTCTTAGGGAATGGTAACCTAGGCGGGCGTGTGGCAACCGCTTTCAAGTCAGTACGCATTTCTATAAGTGCGTGTGTGTGTGTAACCTTTGGAGTCACAAGGTTCCTTTTTGGAATGTTTCCCTTTGACAGCAGGGGGGCGTGACGGTCGATTTCCTAGTCATGCCAATGAAGCTATGGAAATCGACTGGATGGAAGTTTGGACGCAAACTTCCGTACCTGCTGTCTACACTTTTGAACAGCTGTTCGCTGTCACTTGTGTTTTGCTTGTGCATACTACCTACCACCTACTAGCGACGGCCTCCA